ATATTTACTCAGCCTTTTACCTGTTGAATAGCATTCAGGCTTCTTTGAACTCTTCACTATAGTTCTACCATGAACATCTTTATACAAACAGCCTTTTCCCCTTTTGAATTATTTCCTAGGTCTGGGGTTAGTGGGCCAAAGGCTATGGATATTTTTATGGTTCTAAACATGTACTACCAAAAAGAATGTTAGCAGTTTGCAGTGCTACTAGCAATAACTGAGTTTAACATTTCCTTAAGGCACTGTCCATATTAGCTTCAACATTTTAAAAATTGCTAATATATATTAATTGGTACTTTATAATTATTTACTTTTTTTCCCCTCTACTAATAAGTTGGAATAGAATTCCCTTTTTTTTTTCTTTAAGCTAAACACAACTCTTCATCTGCATTCCTACTGTAGGGAGTGACTCAGCAGTGTATATGTTGTAAAGTCACATCAAAGGAAGAAAATAAAACAGTGTTAAAGTAACCAAATTAGGCCCTAGTTGGAGTCCACTCAAGCTAGGCCCACATTAGCAAGCCAAAACTTAAGTAAACTTCTATGCTCGGCTCTCTGAGGAACCAAATGCCTTGATTAACCAGTCAACACAAGTTACCTAACCCTGCTCCAAACTTCCCTTTGCTCCAATCAGCAAATGCCATGTTTCTGTCCTGCTCCTGCTCACTTTGGTCTATAAAACTTTCTCAAATTGAACAATTCTTTGGAACTCCTTTCTATCTGCTATACTGGATGCTGCTCAATTCATGAATCGCTGAATAAAGCCAATATGATCCTTAAAATCTACTCAGTTGAATTTTGTTCTTTAACAGAGAGTATAAAAATTAATTCCAAGAAGGAGAACTTCTCCTCCAAATCAGAGTGGACTTTCTGGAAAGGCTAGAGAATATTGAGCAAGCATTGGTTCAACATGTCTCTGATATAGCTTCCTGAAACTGAAGGAATGCTAAAGAAAGTGAGGGTTCTCCAATAAGCTCCTTTTCCTTTAAATTCACATATATCAATTCAGAAGCCATACTTTTTTCTGGGATTTTGGTTCAGATTCCAAACATTTCAAAAATAATTCCCCATACTGAAGGCTCTACTATGCAGGAAAGAAGCAGATACAAAAAAATCATATATGAAGCAAATATTAAAGCACAGGAAACATAATAAATTAACATCATAGTAATGTGAAAAAAATCAAACTGAAAATGAAGTTTTCACAAATAACCACACTTTTTTTTCTAAGGTTATATTACTAAATGAGTACAGATTGCTCCAACTTGTTCATTTTCCTCTGCAAAGACATCCAAAAAAGAGTGGAAAAACATTAAAAATAAGATATTAAAAGTGTGAAAGTGAAAGATTAAAAGTTCTTGTTCCCATAGCAATTGCACAAGACAGATTTATACTACATAGGCCACTCCTTGGACAGGCATCAGTTTCTTGCCACTTACTAATTACTGTGAAAACACAAGGTAAATGCACTAATAAAATCACAACTAAACTACACACAATTTGAGACCAATATATCATAGTTGCCTGGGCAATAGCAAATATATTTGCCACATAAACCAGCAATAATAGTTTTATACGTATAATATCCATATTATGCAGACCAGTGAAAACAGCCTTCCCCTCCCATAAGAAAGTATGTTATCTGGGATGTAACTTGAATAATGTCTTTTTCACAAAATACTATTATTAGATTTTTTTTAAAGAAGTGATTCCCTAAATCTCCAAAGTCTTTATGAACAAAAGAATCATAGTTCAAAGAGAAACTCATTCACTAAATGAAAGCTAGACAAAGCTAAGAAAAGGAAAAAGTTGGGACATCAATCCTGGACTAGGATCAGAGGATTCTGGCCACCCTTTGGTGGAAGTTCTTGGATTTTGCCAGATAGCAGACTAGAATTTGAAAAAGAATGGAAGTTTTTTAAGAGTAGGAACCTGGGTCTAATGTCTACTAGTGTTCAATAAATATGTGTTAAATGACTGAATACAGTTCTTGAAGAAGCCTGAATCTCTGAAAGGCCAGATAATATATTTTAGACTAAAGGACTTCTGTTAAGACCTGACCCTCAAGTTGAACAAAACTAAGCTCCGTATTACTCTTTTTACCTGCCCTGCTATATATATATATCCTGTGCCTTCTGAGTCCTCATATATATAAGGAACTTCTGTTCACTCTGTACCCAGACTGAAGAGTGCATAGCCGCTTGACTTACCAAGTTGTCAGACATAAGCCCAAAGAGGGGGGACCTCAAAATGTGCTTTAAGCTCCACAGAGTTGGCAGTAAAAGGCTGATGTTCTCTGTGCCACTATATATAATCATAAAGCTTTTAGTAAAAAATTTATAAGGCCACTTTTCATAAGAAACACTACTGACAGCCAAAGCAAAACTTCAAAAATGAAAATGTTGTCATTAGAGTAAAGCAAAGAGGCCCATCAGGGAATGTTTTTGGTTTCCCATGGTGACATTTGTTTCTGATTATATATATAATATTAAATACTTTCCCCTGGGTTTTAAAAGGCTTTTAAGAAAGGAAATAAGCCAGATTCATTTTCTTTCTAATTTGTGATATTCAAAGGCATATTTTCTAGTTTCTATAGTCCTGCTTACTAAATACAGGAAATAGGTCTTTAAAATAAGTCTTTAAATTTCTGCCTATTTTAATTCCCTTTCTGGGCCTGAAAACATTTTAATAGAAGATCCCAAATAACTCATTCTCCATACATAGGCATATTTATTTTCCATTGATAAATAGCCTCATATTTTATCTATACAAGTCTATAATTTTCTCAAAGAACAGATGAAAGATATAAAAAGCTCGTTTGTTTGCTTTTAAAACACCCTCCCACTTCCCTTCCACAGAATAGGTAGGGTAGTTAGATGTGTGTTTCCTAACACCACCAAGCAGTTAACTCAGTTCTGACTCTCTCTACCCGGAGATAAGGTCACAGATCTCACACCTTAAGAGCTCAGTGCCACAGACTGCCCTCCTTTTGATGCCAATTGCAGGTCCAGGTTGTCACCTGTGCTTCTGACCAATTGGCTCTAAATTGGAGGTTTCCATGACATGGTCCTTGGTTCAACAGCTCGCAGAACTGAGAGAAACTTTTACTAGTTTATTGTGAAGGATAATATAAAGGATACAGATGAACAGCCAGATGTAGAGGTACACAGTACAAGATGTGTTGGAAGGCGTCCTGAGCTTCTATGTTCTCTGTGTGAACCACTCTGCTTGCCCGTTCACATGTTCCCTTATCAAGAAGCTCCCGGAACCTCTGTCCTTTTGGGCTTCCATGAAGGTTTCATTACATAGACACGCTTGATTAAATCAGTGACCACTATTGATTGATTCAACTCAGACACCTCTCTACCCTCCTGGAGTTCAGGGGTTGGGACTAAAATTTCTAACCCTCTAATCAACATTTTTATTCTCCAGGCAGCTAGCCCCCATCCTTAGTTAACTACGGGCATTCCAAAAGTGTCCTCATTAGCAAAACAAGAGATGTTTACAGCTCTCCTCAAGTAGGAAATTCCAAGGTTTTAGGAGCTCTGTTCCCAAAATGGAATGAAAACCAAATATATGGTTGACCCTTTTTTTTTTTTAAGATTTTATTTATTTATTCATGAGAGACAGAGAGAGAGGCAGAGGGAGAAGCAGGCTCCGTGCAGGGAGCCTGACATGGGACTCAATCTCAGGTCTCCAGGATCACACCCTAGACTGAAGGTGGTGCTAAACCGCTGAGCCACCAGGACTGACGCTTGAACAGGGGTTTGAAATGTGCAGGTCAACTTATACTTGGATTTTTTTTTCAGCACTATTAGCATTTTCTCTTCCCTATGATTTTCTTAGGAGCATATCCTTTTCAAATACAGTATATAATACATGTAACACACAAAATATGCTAATCAGGGATCCCTGGGTGGCGCAGCGGTTTGGCGCCTGCCTTTGGCCCAGGGCGCGATCCTGGAGACCCGGGATCGAATCCCACGTCGGGCTCCCGGTGCATGGAGCCTGCTTCTCCCTCTGCCTATGTCTCTGCCTCTCTCTCTCCCTCTCTCTCTCTGTGTGACTATCATAAAATAAATAAAAATTTTAAAAAAATATGCTAATCAACTATATATGTCAGGAGAGTATGGCTTCCAGTCAACACAAGACTATTAGTAATTACGTTCTGGAGGAGTCAAAAGTTATACAGGGATTTTGGATTGTGCAGGTCAGTGTCCCTAATCCCTGCATCCTTCATGGGCCAACTGTTTATATTTCTTATAAGTCACAATATCACGGGTAGTGAGGAAAAGATTTATGAGTTAGTATCCCCTTTATCAACCACTGAGGGAGACAGACATACCCTGGCCCATTTGTAGAAATACACACCAAGGCCTCGGGAGCATTTGGTAGTGCACACAGGCTCCAAGGCTCTAACAATCCACACACACCGGAGAAACACTTAAGAGAGACAAAGACACACACCCTCAGAGAGACACTACACAGAAGACAGAAGGAACAAAAGAGACAGACAAGTGTGTATTACTTGCAAAGGACGGACGGCACTCAGGACAGGCCTCCAGCAGCGCACTCAGGCACAGCCTCCGTGCCAGGGAAGAACAGGACCCCCCGCTGGAGTGTAACTGTGCGTCACACACACACACACACACACACACGCACACGCTCTCCTCTCTCCCTCGCACTCGCCCTCTCGTACATACACGGTCTCCCACAGACTCCTAACAGTCTCACACATACACAATTTCTTAAAATCTGTTACGTACATACTCACACATTCCGTCTCACACACACAACCTCACACACAATCTCTCTCACACACGTACATACGGTCTCTCAGTGTACATAGTCTCACACACGCGGCCTCACCGGCGGGCGCGAACACGCACACTCGCTCTCAGGGCTCCCCCACACGCCCCCGTTGGCTCCGCCCCCGCCGTGGCCCTGCCCCCGGGTGGGCCCCGCCCCGGGGGCCGGGGCGGGGCGAGCCAGTGACAGGAGCGGCCGGGCCGGGCTGGCGCTTCAGGCACGCTGGCCCGCGGGGCGCTCCCGAGGCTCCTGTGTGTGGGCAGCGCGGCCGGTCTCCGGGCGGCCCGCGGCTGGCGGCGCTGCCTCGCGTCTCACGCTCGGCTCCTCCGGCGGCCGTCCCGGCCGCGGGAGTTGGCGACGGGATGTGCTCGGCCGGGGATCTGCTCGGTGGCGGCGGCGGCGGCGGCGGCGGCGGCGGCGGCGGTGGGGAGCGCGACGAGGACCGGGACGCGCTGGCGGAGCGGCCGGCGGCGGGGACAGAGCCGGAGCCCGGGGCGAGCCCGCGGCGACGCGGGCAGCGGCCGCTGGAGGAGCGCGAGCAGGTGAGCGGGGAGGGGTGGCGCGGCCCGGCCGGTTTGCCGAGCCCCACCCGGCGGCGGAGGGAAGTGGGCGGGCGGGCGGCGCCTGGGCTCTGCTCGGCGTAGGGCGCTGGTCGCTGCGGCGAGGAGCGGTTGGACGGCGCGCCCCGGGCCGGGCCGGGCTGCGGGGTCGTGCGTGCGCGGCGGCGAGTGCCCCGGGGTCGCGTGCCTGGCGGGGTCAACCCGGCCCTTCCCCTGCTGTCGGGCAGGCGGGCGCAGGCCGGCGCCCCGGGCTCTGTGGAAGTACCCTCCATAACGGTCACTTAGCTAAAAGCCCTACATGTAAACACTTTTTTTTTTTTTTTTTTTTTTTTTTTTTTTTTTGCAACCTCAGGTCCAAACCCCTGTGCTGTGGTTTAGGGGACAGCTGCTCCCTTCCTGCCCTCCATCTTGGCAGTTCCGAACGCACACCTAGCGCCTCTGAGAAGGTGTGGGTGTCTATGTCTAGAAGTGCAGTCAGTGTCTGAAAGCATGTGTAGGAGCGGGTATTACAATAGATACCTTGCCTGGGACTCTCCAAGAGAGCAGGTTCCTCACATGAACGCAAATGAAATCAAAACTTCATTTTAAAAGTCAAAAAGCAAGAAAATTGCTTTCAGTTAGCACCGAAGGGAGAGAAGTATTCAGAGGACAGCGGTGGGAAAAGGAGAAGTTGGGTAATTTTTGAAACTCTCAGAATCTGTTCTCAATGAAGTATGGTAATAGGCATTACAACATATCAGATGTCCTCAAGATTAGGCAAGAGATTTAATAAAAAGAAATTGGATTATACGTAGGGTAGATTTTCACCAGCAAAAAACAGTAGTTCAACTCTCAGAAATACCTGAAATAAGCCTACCTTCAGAATCACATTAAGGAGTAGTCACATGATTATTTGCCTTTGCTACGGCCTATACTGTTGGGACAATCGATTAATGTCTGTCTCCTTTCATCATTGTCCGTCTGTCATTTTGTCACATTTCACAAACTCCAATAGCATCACTAAATGCATTAGTAGATAAAGTGTAACTTCTGCTATTTCAACATTTTATTAAGAAAACAGAAATACCATTGTGTGGCACATACAAAATATGCCTTAGCATCAGGCTCATTACCATGTGGAGGTGTAATTTTTCATCCTTTTTTAAAAATGTTTTATTTATTGTAAGTTTTCATCCTTATGACAATATAAGAGATGGCATGGTGACTGAAGCAAATAATTAGTCACTAGGAGATCTTCCCTATTCCCTTCCTAGTGTACCATCCAACTGGACCATGACTCAGTAGCTAAAGGGCTTAGTTTCCTCTTGCTTTAGTTGTTCAACTGGAAAAGTGAAGAAAACAGCAAGCTACAAGGAACTCCCTTGGTGGTGGTGGTGAGGGGGGTACAGTAGAATTGAGGTTCTCAAAGTAAATTTTCAAATGTTTGTAAGGGAGCACGTAAAATATTGCTTCATTTATACTTCTGTAGATTTCACATCATTAGTATCTCTGGTCTTACCAAAATTATTTGGTACAAAGAAAAAGGATGAAAACAAACAAAAATAAATGATACGTATATCCTAGAAAACATATCCCCGCACACCTGCTTCTTTCAGTGCCTGTCATGGAAATTTATTTCCTTTGAAATGTTGAAACTGTTATTTTTTTTTATCAGATAATGTATTTATGTACCCTAAGCCTACATACATAGTAATGGAAAATTACACCTGAGATATGCACTTACCCCAAATCAGCACCAAAGAAGAACTTCTTATCAAGAAACCAAAAATGAACAAAAAATTGGGACAACACAACCCTTTGGTCTAAGAAGTAAGCTTTTGAGATAAATCATTTGTTGATAATATTATCACCAAGGCTTGTTTTCTTCTTTTCTTTGCAAGTCCTGCAACTGAAATTTAAAAATTTTATGCACTCCCTTGCAATGATGGTAACTACAGGTATAAAAATACTTGAGGGAGAAGTGAATGAATTCATTGACTATGAAATATAACCTAAAGAATTGTTTCATTTAGTTTTTCCTTAGGGGATGGTATGTGTTTGTTTATTTTGAGGGCACACAGACTCCAGATTACAAAATAGAATATTTTTGAAAACTTGGTTTGTAGACTAGTTACTTAGAATTTAGAGTGAATTTTTCCACAGAAACAATGATATAAACAGGAATGGAACTAAAACTAATTAGCTGGAAATTAGGCAGAGGCCATATTCCTGTTGTCCTTTCTGCCTGGCACACTCACTTACTTGGTGTTCCACAGTCTCAGCCTTATGGATGTTGAAAGAGAACTGGTGGCATCGGTGGTAGCAGTGGCGATGGTAGCCACCTCCACAGAAGCTCCCTTACGTCTGGATCCAGGCTGTGGTGGTGTGCTCTTGAACGCAATAGTTCCAGAAGACATCTGACTTTTGCTCCTCCAGCTGTCAGTGATTTTTTTTTCAGCCCCTAATTTTTTGTATTAAATTCCTTCCTATTTCTGTTTGCTTCATTACCTGATAATTTGATGAAGCATGTTTCTTCCATTAGCTATTCTCCAGGCTAAAGGCTCCTCCACAGGCATCCTTTCCTTCACTGATTTTTCTTTCCATTCCTGTCAGAAAGGTTTATGCCCTTCCCTCATCTTGGGAAGTCTCTTGTATCAGCTTTGACTGTACAAAACCTACCCTGGGCTCATTGATATGATACCAGCTCAGAATGGTCTATATCTTGGTATTTATTTCAAGTAGCACAGAAATAGTAATATAGGTATTTTCTTAATAACTAAGATTGTCAGCATCATTTTTTTCCCTTACTACTTGTTCGGGTTTTTTTTAATATTTTATTTATTTATCATGAGAGACACACACAGAGAGAGAAGTAGAGACACAGGCAGAGGGAGAAGCAGTCTCTATGCAGGGAGCCGGATGTGGGACTTGATCCCAAGACTCCAGGATCATGCCCTGAGCTGAAGGCAGATGCTCAACTGCTGAGCCACCCAGGCGTTCCCCCTTACTACTTGTTCTTAAATGCCACGCCATTTGAGGAAAACTAAGGTTCTTTTGTCTCTCTAGGTAGGATGATTGACAAAGGAGGCCTAGTTAAAATCAAATATCTTAAGAAAGGAGGACTTAAAAGAATAGAACAAGTCCTTTAGATGAAGGAACTGTGTCAAGTTTGAAGTACATGTCAGGCATCTAAGAGAGATAAGCAAGGGAGAATGGCAAAATGCTCAAGGGAACAAAGGGAGAGGGCATAACTATCCCACATATGTGTTGTTCATTGTGTACATGAGACATGATTCAAGTATGTTCATGACCGTGAACATTAGGTGGCTTTATATAAAAGAGTCTGAACTACTGTGTTACTGAAAGGCCAGACATCTCTAGTCCTTTTATAATATGCCTACAATGTGAATAGCATCTTCTTAGATGTGGCAGTTCACAACCTGAATAACCTAAGATGGCCCTTCTTACCTCCTAGAGCATAGAGGTCCCATTATCCTCAGATTGACATTAGAATCATCATTATCTTTAGCTCGAAGGCCTTTCTTTATGATTATTGAAGTAATGTACTTTGGAAAATGTAGAAATAAAGAAAAATCTAAGGAAGAAGACAAAAGCATTTGAAATTCCAATCCAAGCAATATTTTGTTTAAAAATATCAAATATTTAAAAAAATATATCTCATACATTTGGTATTATTAATCTCTCCCTGTCTCTCATATATTACTATACTTATATGTATATACACATATGTTTTTAACATGTTTTAGTATAATATGAAATTTGCTTTCTTGTTTTGACTACTTAGCATGTTGTGTCATTTTCCTGTGTTATGAAAAATTATTTGTAAAAATTATTTTTAAGGCTGCCTAACAGTCCATTTTCCTGCTAATATACATTTAAGGTGCTTCAAAATTTCTTTTTAAATAATGCTGTAATGAAAACCTTTGCATGTAAATCTTCAGAGTTCTACCTTGCAATAGATTCCTAGAAATGAAAGAACTAGGTCAATGAGTCAAAGTCGTTGAAGCCTCTTGGGACATTCTAAAGGATTGCATTCAAGAAAGGTCACACCAATGTACACTTCCAGCATTGGTGTATGAGTGCCATCCATGCCTGTAAGGAATGATGTAATTTATAGATTATTAATCTTTGCCAATTTAGTAGGTCAAAATTATCTTATGTTGTAAAATATTGCTGGAGAGGTTTACTAAACCTTGCATGTGCATGTATTTATTGAGCATTTGCATTTTTTAAAATCATGTTCTTTGACCTTTTTTGACACTATTATAAGATGTTAATCTCTTATTTCACATTGATTATAAATATTTTCCCTGCTTGCTCTTGACTTTATCATTTTGTTTATGATGTTTTTGATTTAGAAATGCCTTAAGTTTTTATTAGCTAAAGGAATTTATTTTGATAACTTCGTCCACGTCTATCAAACATACACACACACGCATAATATATACACATATCTATCTATATCTTTAGAATGTTCTTTTTAATCCTACCAATATTAAATATAATACCCACCAATATTTTAAATATTAAATATTTAAATATCACTTGGGTGCTTATCCCAAGTTAAATATCCACCAATATTTTCTTGTGTGTGTGTATTCTATGTTTTATTATTTTTTAAAAAACTCTGTATATTTAGTCTCTTTAGAATAACTTTAAGTATTGTGTGAGGTATGGAGCTAATCTGTTTTTTTTTCCCCCAATCATTGAATAATCCATTTTCTCCCTAGTTTTACAATCCTTGATAGTAATTACAAATACTAAAATCTATATTAAGCTTTTATGTTTTTGTTGGTTTTGTGAAAGGGATGTTTATCCCCACAAATCATCCTTTTGCTGCTGGTTTCTAGCTACTGGTTTTTATATATTTAGTTTTTAACTAGTTACCTTTCTGAATTCTTTTGTTAATTCTTATGTTAATAAATACCAGTATCTTTTAGACTTGATTCTTTTGCATCTTCTAGATATATAATCATCCAGTC